GAAGTAGGAATGCCCAACCTTCCTTCTGAGGAGTCTGGTGGGTTTGAACCGCCAGCCTTCTGGTTAGCAGTCAAGTGCCTTAGGCACTATGCTACCAGAGCTCCTCCAATATAGTGTCACAACAATTGTTTTCAAGCTATGTAAAAAAGCCTTATGGTTATTCCTAGATTTTGAGGACATGGGGAGCAGTCTGACCAGTTGGGCACTAAACCTCCTTCTTATTCTCATTTCATAAGAGCAGCCAAGCTATTACTTTTTTCTAGCAGAGTTTTCTGACAGGAGATTTTATTTGAAATCTTATTTTCTTTAAAATCAAGTTTCAAACCCACTGTCTTAGGAAATTTAGTAAAACACATTTTAAGTATCAAAATATATCACACGCAAAAAAAAGAAAAGGTCAAAATGACATATTTTAGTCATTACCTTTAACATTTGAAAAATTAAAAGAGAAAAATATAAAACAAAATACATATTCAATTTATAGGGCATGTTCTTTTAATGCTATCCCTGCAAAATCTAGAGATGAATAACAACAAAAAAAGAAGATATCTTTAGATTAAATGTGGAAAGGTTTCTAGCAGGTGTTCCATTTAGAACCAACACATGACTTAACAGAGAGTTTGGTAATTATGGAAATTATTTTTAGTAGGAAAAGTTGCTGAAGTTATATGCACATCAAAATTCAAAATTTCTCAAAATGAACTCAGCTTCAACTTTGAATATTGGCTTTAAATTATGGCAAATGTAAAACATGATTTTCACAGTAGGAAAAAAAATATTAATGATAAACTTTTGGGGATCGTTTTACCTTGTATTAAATAGCATGATATAGGCCAGATTATGTATTTAATATAGTTTAAAATTATTAATCACTAAAATGATGTAGGAGGGGGTTTGCTGAATAAAAACAAACAACTAAGATGTGTTCTCTCTGCTTAAACAGTTTGTAGGTATTATAATATTTGTAAAGCACAGGAAGTGGTTTATGCAGTGAGTGGAGTTAAGAAAGGCTTCACAGAAGAGGAAATATTTGAACTTCTTTAAGGAGAAGTAAAGATAGAGAAGTAAAGATATGCTGA